AAAAAAGTATCGATAGTACTCCCACTTTCCAGTATTTTAAAATCAAACGCGAAAAGTAAACAAAAATCAGATTGGTTTGCTTTTGTGGCCTCTTTCTATTTGTAAATTAAATATGCACTTAAAATAGTTGAAATGTGATCTCGCAAGCACTTCAAAAGGAGTTTTAAAATAAACTTACAGTAAGTTTACTTCTACAAGGGTAAAGTGATCGTTTATAGCCGCGGCTCGGGTTTGGGAAAGCGAAGATGGCCAGGGCTCACGCAACCTAATAGTTGTTCCAAGCGTAAGAATTCCGGATGTACTCAAGAAATTCCACAATGGTCCTAGTGGAAGGTACCTGGGAATCACGAAGACCCTGGAGAAGATTAAGCAGAGGTTCTATTGGGTTGGATGTCGGCAATCGGTCGCAGAGTACATTGCTAACCGCGCGGAGTGTATTGCAGCTAAAGGCCCGAAATCCAGAAGTCATGGCCAGATGAAGCAGTATAACTCAGGTGCACCATTCGAACGGATTGCCATGGATGTAGCAGGTCCATTTCATATGAGCGCACAGGGAAACAAATACGTCCTTGTGGTTATGGACTGCTTTAGCAAATGGCCGGAGATATACCCGATTCCAAGCCAGGAAGCTAAAACAGTAGCGGAGGTGTTCACCTACAATTGGGTTGCGAGATACGGTGTACCTATAGAATTGCACTCTGACCAGGGAAGACATTTTGAATCGGCGGTGTTCCAAGAGATGTGCCAGATACTGGGTATCCGGGAACCTCGAATAACGGCTCTTCATCCCCAATCAGATGGCATGGTGGAACGGTTCAACCGAACCCTGGAAGAACATTTGCGGAAGGTCGTGGACAAAAATCAGAAAGATTGGGATGTCCGTATATCCTTGTTCTAGGCAAACATATGTAATTGGCTAACATTTATATGTAAATAGCTTTAGATATACAATTGTGCCACCTATTCCCAGATGGTTAGAATATAAGAAATAACAATACAAATGCCGAAAGCAAGTAAAATTATTTGTTGTTTCGCTTGCATGCAAATATGTATGTACAGTAGGGTGGTCCAAAATAAGTAAAGTCGGATTTTTAATGCTCTCACCCGCTAGGACTGTACTATATCGAAAAAATATACCGCTAATTTTAATTTTGAAATCAAAAAATATTTAGAGGGCGCTCAAAGTTTTCCATGTATTTTATATGGGAGAAAACAACTTTTCGTCGAAATAGTATGGAATTCTTGAAAATCAATATTTTTCGATCGAAAAACTCTGATTCTCTTCAAGATGCTTCCAATAACAATACCCTAATTGGTTATTTAGCACCTTTTTAATTCTAAAGATTCCGATATTCATTTCCGAGAATTCTATACCATTTCTACGAAGTGTTTTCCCCCATATAAAATATATGGAAAACTTTGAGCGCTTTGAGCGACCTCTAAATATTTTTTGATTTCAAAATAAAAAATAGGGGTCTATTTTTCTCGGTATAGAACCATCCTAGGGGATGATAGCATAAAATCCCGACCTTACTTTTTCACACGCGTTTTTGGACCACGCTAATGTACACATGTACGTACAATATTTATATTGTATAAGTATATATTTTATAAAAGTATTATCTTAAGGAGTAATAAATTTACTATATCTATGTGCATACATATTAATATATTTGTGTTAATTCTCTTCAGGTAGGATAATATTACGTCTCTGTTGAATTCGTAACGCGCGCTGACATTTTTGGACTTTCTTAAAATGCTGTAGCAGATCTTCAAATTTAATGTTGCTTTTGTACTGCAGGGAATTTCTTTCGTCGCTATAAATAATTATAATTAACTTTAATTAATTTAAAAAAAAAAAAAAAACGTAATAAAAACTTGCAAACCCACATCGGCGTTTGACCCCAATAATTTGGTACACATTGCAAACGATTCTTTAATAAGTTGAAAGCATCTGTCTGAGGCAAAAGCATAAGAATTCCAAAGAGCGCGTGTGCTAAGTGCTGGGCATCTGCACAGTTATTTGCTTTCGATACTAAAGTTAGGCGTAAGGCTATTGAAATGCAAATATGTGAAATTACTATTGGTACATAAACATATCAAATATTGCATGTCATTCCTTACGCGCAAAAATCGGTGATTCAATAAGTTGGACCAGTTTGTCTAATTCGTTCAGTAGTTCCAAAGTAATCTCTACATCACCACTGAAAATATAAGATGCCCAATTTTGAACATTAAAAAATTTCATTGAATAACATTAAAAGAAATGCAATTTGTTTTATGTATAAAAATTATCGTTAGTTACGGCTTTTTGCATTTCAGGTGGCGATATGTAATATGCACGTATCGATGGTCCTCTGCAATAACGACAAAATTCAAAAAGTAAAAATTTACCACTGTTAGGTGTCTGACGTCTCTATTCCTTGGGGGACTACTGGTATGCGATCTGGTATACATCGTAAATAATACGCAGTGGCGATTACCTATCGCATAGCATTTCTCTTTCGTATCGCATTACAGAGTGGCCCCCTGGACTAATCCTTAAGTACTTTCTGTGGTAGTCCTTACTACTTATTTTATTCTATTTTTTTTTTTATTAAAAACAATGTAAGGATCAAGTATGGATTAGAAAGGGATTGGATACATGAGTCACTTAACAGTAGTAGGGGATTTTATTTTTTGAATTTTCAGTTGTGTCGTTATTGCAGAGCATGATAAAAAAATAGGAAGGTAGAACCGCTGAGGAATTTTTCGAATCCTTGACGTTTGCAAACAATTTAATTTTAAAATTTTACAAACAAACACACACATTCTCATTTTCAATCTCAAACAACAACAACTTTGAACAATTCCCTTTTTTTACTCTCAATTTTATATGATTATAAAATGTTGGCAAACTTCAAAAAAAAATCATGGCCGACGAATTGAGAGAACGGTTTTACCTTACTATGTTTTTATCATGATTGCAGAGCATACCATATACGAGTAATAATCCCGAATTTCGGTTAAGCTTTAACATTGATTAGCTATTTTACTTACGAATATAAATTACTTACAATAATGCCACAAGCTGTGAAACGTGCTGGTAACTTTGCGCTAGCAGGCATAGAGAGAGTGTCGAAACAGGGCAGTGCGCCCAACTCATATAAAGGCATTTAAATAAATTGGCTGAGTGTTCATTTGTAATATCTCGCAGGGAATTGCGCAGTTCAAAGAGTTCCGGAGATGTTAGTAATATCATGTTAAGTAAGCGTACCATTGTTGAGGCAAATTTAATAACTTCTTCATCAATAATTTCCGCGAAAGTACGATAGATATACTCTGCATTTAGTAATACGCATAGTTGCCTGCAATAAAAAATGTTTAGACCTATTAGATATGTACATAGATACAATTTTAATATGTTTATTTAATTATTATTATTATTATTTTTTTTTAATTTCTGAGTCTGGGTTTCACTATCTAAATGTTTAACTTTCTTTTGTCAGCCGTGTCGATCTTTGCTATATATGTATAATGTGATATATATTTCTTTTTTATTTTTGTTTTAAGTAATCTGTATGTATTTTATTTTACTAGTATTTTTTATCTCTGTTTTGTACTATACAAGATCTATGATATTATTTTACTGTTTTTTTCTCTTAATAAATGAAATGAAATGAAATAAGTTACACAATTTGTATATTAAACCCACCTTATTATAAGGCTGGCGCGATTATCCAAAAACTTCTTTTCCTCGCCAAATAGGTTGATTAGACTCAGTAGGAATTTGCGGTAGTGTACTTTGTTAAAGTCACTAGATTCTAATATAAATTATAAAAACATTCAATTTGTACAGATTATATAGGCGCTTGATGGATGTATGTAGTTACATACATAAGTATTTACATTAGACTGCATCACCAAAAAAATTTACATTTTTTCCGCCGGGATTACAAAAGTTATTATTTTTTAAGACGTTCACCGAAATATTTTGAAAAAAATATTAAGATTTACGTGAGCTGGACCGATTTGAAAATACCTCCAAAAATGGAGTTTTTTATGTATAAAAATAGTTTCTTAATGAACTTTTTGCAAAAAGTCTCCTCAGATGAAAAAACAGATTAAGCTTAAAAAATCTGCATAAAAATCTTTTCGACGGAATCGTAATAATGAGATTTTTGATTGTTTTTTTTCAGCTTTTTTCAAAGATTGATTTACGAGAAACTTAAATAACTGGGCTAAAGCTACTCTGATTTAGACTTATGGGATTTCGATAGAAAGGTATTTTCCCACTATTTTTATTTATGTGCAAAAGTCATTCCTGTCCAAATTTTTTTTCAAATACCAACACATCTTAATTCAACTTTGAATGACGTTGGCTCATCCTACCTTTTTCATTCATCCTTTGAATGAGCTTATTAGCAAAGAAATAAAAAGGGTGAAAAAATACCTTTCCAATGATACCTCACAAGTCTAAATCAGAGTTTAGGTTCAGTTATTCAAGTTTTTCTTATACCAATCTTTGAAAAAAGTTAAAAAACAAATTTTTTAACTTAAACCGTCTTAAACATCTTTAAGAAACTATTTTTATTCATAAAAACTCTATTATTGGAGGTATTTTGAAATCGGTCCAGCTGACGTAAATCGTAATATTTCTCCGTAATATTTTGGTGGACGTCTTAAAACATAACAGATTTTATAATTCCAATGGAAAACAGTACCGATTTTTTTTTTTTGTATGGGGAGTGATGCAGTCTAATGTACATGCATACCTTTACTATATGTAGAGTTTAAAATTTCTGCCAGTACTGACAAGCACTGCAGCACAACCTCGTCGGAATTGTCGGATAATATACTTAGTAGGTTGGCACTTAAATTGTTTGCATGTGGCGACATCTACATTTATTGAAAATACATATTAAATATATTTTTTTCGTAAAAAATTGGTATACCGACCTCATTTGGAAAATGTGTAAATAAATGGTGAATCCATTTTAGCACGGCCACTTTTGTGTGCACCGAGTTATGCGTCAAATATTGGGATAATACTTCCATTACTGAACGTAGATCAATTTTCTCAATGTTTTGAGATTTGTGCTCTTTAGATGAAATTAGTAACATTATCGAGCTGTTCACAGAGACGGCACATTCTTTAATATCTGCCAAATGGAAAAAATAATAAGCGTGCAGGTTACAGACGGTTTTAAAATAACTACTCTTTTTAGATTCAGCATTGTACTCCAGGCAAGGTAAAATTGCTGTAAATATTCCACTAGCATAAGGCAAGACATTTGGTCCAAATATTTGCACAAATTCTCGTATCCAAGTTATAGCAATTGACTATATATGATAAGGTTTTGCGTTTTTTTGTAAAACGTCATTATTAAATCAATGTTTTTATGTATGTTTATAGGTACACTTACTTTGATTAGTTCATTTGGTGATTGTGCGTGAATGATTAGAATGTTTATTGTATCTTCCATTCGCACGAGAGAAGAGTCAGTTCGAATTGACTTTAAAAACTGGCTCAGAGTAGTTTCACACCTAAAAGCATGTGATGCGGCAATACACTTTTAAAAATGTAGTGAAATCGTCGGTAAATTTACATACATTCGTTGAATTTCCAGAGTGTTGTCTTCTAGCATTGTAAAAAGTCCATCTAAAATGTCCGTTAAATAAATCACCATATTTATTTCGGGAACTGCGTTCAAGATTGATATCCACGATATAACATATTGTCTAGCGAATGAGTTCTTTACGTAAATACGTTCTTTAAGTAGTGGTATAAATGCTTCCAAATTGAAAGTTTGGGAAGATTCTGTGACAATATCCTATAATATAAATATATTTAGGCAGCAGATAATTTGTCCTGCATATTTGGTACAATTTCGTAGCAAATTACCTTTAACAGTCGATCGAGCAATTCACTGCCATCCTTTACCATTTGGTCAGAATCTGCCACCAATCGTGAAAGAGCGGAAAATAGTTCTGGAAAGAAAGGTATGATAGCAGCTCTGGCTACTTTAACTACATTGTATAAAGATTCACAAGCGAAATAACGAACTCGTACATCCGGGTCACTAAGACAGTTTAGAATAGGTGTGACCAATTCACCTACATACCGTTCTGAGTCCTATAAAACAAGATATGTCAGTTTACCAAATACACAATATACCTTAATTACTTACTTTTCCCAATCCAAGACTGGTGGCTGCTAATCCTATTAAGCCACCTTTACGTCGATTGGGGTCTCGTGATGTAGCGAAATCATTAGAAAGTACCTCTATTAGCTTACGTATTTGAATGGAGTTCTTTTTTATATTGAATTCTGTCACCATTCTGCAAAAAATGAGAACAATTTAAATAGCAGAAAAACTTCCAAAGTAATAACAAAATATATTTTATATATATTTATGTATACATACTTTTCTATTTCTTGTGAGGCGACTTTACGCTTTTCATAAGCTTTATCTGCTAGCGCCTTGGCGCAGCTTTCACTCAACGGGGCGTATGGTGACTCCATTTCTCTCTACAAAAGCGAAGTCCTTATTTTTAGTGAATTTTCGCTACCGTGTCTATGACCCTCGTAGTCCGGTGTTGATTGACTAATTACAATTGTTCAATCGATTTTCTCATCGATATTTTATCGGTGTATCGATTGTTGGATCGGATTATAAACTGTTATACCATGTTCTGACCGACAACGAACACACTTTGAAAACGTGTTTTGGGAGTGTGGGCTGAAGGCTGTTCACACCGGCTGTTAATGTTTTCGTTGCCATTTCTTACATCCTCTGATTACAGTTTTGCTACACAAAAACAAAACCAAAATGCTTTTCCCTCATTTTCTTTCCATTAGCCACCTCTTACTTTCATTCTTATTTTACTTTTGCCAGCCAATTAACAATAAATCCGAAATGGCGTATTAAAGATGATAAAATATGACTTCCACTTCGATAAATAATCGAAAAAAAAACTAGTAAAGACACCGATTGGAATGAGTGGAACGTGAGTTTTCAAGTAGTTTTCAGCGAAAACTGGTTTTCGTTTGACAGATTTTACATGGACGAAAACACAAGTTTTAAGTCGAAAACCAGTTTTAGCAACGAAAACATGTTTTCGATGTCGGTCATAACATGCTATTAGTCTGTTCCAATAGCAGTCCGGTTTACAGGATTTAGTCAGAACTTACAGGAAGTCGTTCCTATTGACATAAAACCTGTAAGTGGGAACACATTTGAGAGAGTAACTGAGCAACTGTTCCTAGTAAGAAGTTACAGGATTTAGTCTGGAGTTTTTTTTCCTGTAAGTTCATGAAAGGTGTCAAACCATCAGCTGATTTACATATGCAAACAAAAACAGAAAGCGGTGAAAGCAGAGAACCTTATATTTGTAAAAAAAATGGAAGTAAAAAACGAAATATTTGAATATGTACACATTTTAATAATTAGTTAGTGATATTTCAGCCAAATCAGTGTTGCACAAATGACATGTAAACAAACCGACTGACGTTTTTACCGGAAATAGTACTTTTTGCGTTCCTATGTATATCTGCATCTGTTCTCCTTTTACTCTCATTTGAGAGCGTAAAATTGTAGTTTGACAGTTCCACAGGTTTTAGTCCGAAGATCAAAGGAACAGACTATGTTTGCGTGTACACTTCCGACTAGGATCAGTTGCTCAGTTACTCTCTCAAAAGTGTTCCCACTTACAGGTTTTATGTCAATTAGTCTGTTCCTTTGAACTTCGGACTAAAACCTGTGGAACTGTCAAACTACAATTTTACTCTCTCAAGTGAGAGTAAAAGGAGAACAGATCCAGAAGTGCACGGGAACGCAAAAAGCACTATTTCCTATAAAAACGTCAGTCGGTTTGTTTACATGTCATTTGTACAACAACTGATTTGCTGAAATAGCACTAATTAATTATTAAAATCTATACATATTCAAATATTTCGTTGTTTACTTCCATTTTTTTTTTACAAATATAAGGTTATTTGCTTCCACCGCTTTCTGTTTTTGTTTGCACATGCAAATCAGCTGATCATTTGACACTTTTCATGAACTTACAGGAAAAAAAATCCGTACTAAATCCTGTAACTTCTGACAAGGAACAGTTGCTCAGTTACTCTCACAAAAGTGTTCCCACTTACAGGTTTTATGTCAATAGGAACGACTTCCTGTAAGTTCTGACTAAATCCTGTAAACCGGACTGCTATTGGAACATACTAATTATGACCATGATTCAATAACACAAGGTTATGTAAATTGTGACAGCTAAAATATGACACTACTTTATCTAGATTTGTATTTTGTAAGTCGGAGAAAGTCGAAGAATGTGATCGCCTTTGCCGAAAACGGTAGGAGAAAGGTACTAAAAATTGCGCAAAGTATACAATCAGAAGCTTTTCAAGCGTTCAGCTGAATTGTGGAGCTGAAAGCCTGCGAAGCGCCAAACAACTGAAAAGCTTGTTGGGGAGTTGTACTCTTTGAGCTGGTCCAATGACAGGACCAGAAGATGATGGATAGGACTCTGATCCAAAAGACGGCAGAAAGTACACGCTCGAAGCAGGGAAATTGCAGAAGGACTCAGGTATCGATAGCTTGGCGAGCCTTACCGTAGCGGAGAAGGCCACGAAAGCGGTGAACGGTCGCAACCAGCGACCAGCGCTGAACATACTCCACATAAACCTCCAACACAGTAGAGCAGGATTCGCTCGACGTTGCTCTAGTCCAGGAGCCATGGCTATCGTCGGGAGGAAAAGGCCCGTATCTTTAAAGTGCGAGTTGTGAGGGCAGCAGTATGGGTAAGAACAACTTGTACTCATACACTTTGTCTAATTCTCTACTGAGGACTTGGCGGCTGGGGCCGTAGAGAAAGAGGCGGAGAGGAGGTTGTAATCCTGAGATCTTGCTGCATGGCGCCCAACATGGTCGCCTCACCCTGAGCGTTTAAAATATTGGTGAAAGAGGAAAAGAGCAGGGGGCGCAGCGACATCAATGAGCGTGGTTCAACGTACCGGAATGACTCGGGTTTTACCCGACCAAGGGCTGTTGTTTCGGCGATCTAACCCCGTTTAGGTCGGCGAAGTATCTCAGAAGTTGTTCGTCCATAGGGCTACATTCGCTACGTTTTCTCCTACTCAGGGCTGGTATCGAGTCAAACCCAGGGCCAGAAACCTACACCTGCTGTGTATGCCAGAGACGACTACACCACAACTCCACCTCTGGCAAGTGCAATGCTTGCGAGGGGTGGTGTCACTACTACAGGACTACGGACACATCGGCAGTGGACCACGTCGTATGTGGCCCCCCTGCTGCTCAAACAGAGCAGCCACCACGGCAAACCTCAGTCCACCAGAGCAGCCTCACATAGTCACCACAGCAACAACATAATAACACCACAGCCACGACAGACCATAGAACACACACAACCGCACCACCACCCACACGCCGGCGCCAACAACTCCTGGTTCCTCCTACAATCTGCAGGGTATGTCAGACCAGGATATTCCGTAATGTGACATCAGTCAAGTGCAACACCTGCCTTGGCTGGTGCCACTTTAGGGCATGCTCAGGTCTGCGTACCACGCGAGACTGGACGAGGAACTTCGAGGGCCCGTGTTGCGCTGCTCGGTCGCAGACCCCAACTGCGACGCCTCCCGCCACCACCACAGGGCGGCAACCATCACAGCAGCGCACACAGCCAACGGCAGTAAGAACACACACATCCCTTACACCCCACATCACAACACGTCTCCCGAACCACATGAAGCTCCTTCAATTTAACTGTAACGGGATACAGAGCAAGATTGAGGAGATAACCGTCTTTATGTGGCGGCATGGTATATTGATAGCTGCGGTCCAAGAGACTAAGTTGCACAGCAATTCAACATTGTGGAATTGTGCCGGGTACAACGTGCACCGTCGAGATCGCGAGCGAGATAATGGTGGTGGCTTAGCGTTCATCACGCACCACACCGTGCAGTATCGTCTTATCGAAGCAGACATCGACCGCAGGGATACCACCCTAGAATGTCAGGGCATTGCTATCCGGTCAGGCGGTGTCGAGCTCGAAATATTTAACATATACATACCCCCTGTCACCTGCTGCCCGGCAGGATATCGCCCTGATATAGGTGCGCTCCTCAGAGCTGAAAACCGTATGGTAGTAGGTGACTTTAATTCGCATCACGATCTTTGGCATTCAAGCCTGTCAAACGATTGTAGGGGAACAGAATTGGCTGAGCAGATAGACGATTCGACATTCTGCACAATGAACGACGACGCACCCACCAGGATTATGGGTAACTGCAGTAGCTCGCCAGACATCACAATAGTCAGCGCTGGTCTGATAAACAGCATAACATGGCGACCTATGCTGACTTTAGCATCAGACCATCTACCCATAGTCATCTCGTTAGATAAACCAACCGATTTTGCCTCCGCTAAACACCGTATAGGTCCGGTCTTCTCTAAAGCTGATTGGAAAGGTTACGCGACGTCCATCTCGGTGAACGTAAGTTCCGCAGGGCTGTCACTGCAGCTGCAGCTTGCTTCATACCGGCAGGATGTATAACGGACCCACGTCCAAACTTCCCTGCCGAAGCGGCTGTTCTAGCCGATGAGCGCGACAGCCTTCGTCAGGCCGATCCCGGAGATCCCCGTATTAGGGATCTCAACGCGGAGATTCGGCAACTAGTAAACGTACATAAGCGGAAGAAGTGGGAGGAGCATCTGAATACCTGTAATTTCACCTCTGGTGTGAGCAAGCTTTGGTCAACCGTGAGGTCACTGTCCAATCCGACGAAGCACGACGACAGAGGCGTAATTTCTTTCGGCGACCATGCTTCGTCGGACCCGGAGCGATGCGCGAGCTATTTTAGCCGGCAGTTCATACTGCATCCTCCGGTGGACAAAGCCAAGCGTCGAGTGACCACAAACACAAACTGCCAACAACTTGTGCCCCCCTTGCTTTCACTTGCGGTGAAGTTCAGGTAGGTGGCCATCGGGAAGGCGAAAGCCTCCAAAGCCATGGGTCCCGACGGCATATGCATGCTGATGCTGAAAAATTTTGGTCCTGCGGGGGTAGCGTACCTAACGGAGGTCCTCAATTTTTCATGTCCACTCTCATCATCCCAGACATCTGGAAGGTGGGGAGAGTGGTCCCACTGCTCAAACCGGGGAAACCCGCCAACATAGGAGATTCTTATCGTCCGATAACACTCCTTTCCCCGGTAGCGAAGACACTCGAGGCCTTGCTACTCCCGTACTTCACAAAGCACTTGACCCCATCGAAGCATCAGCATGGCTTCCGTAAAGTGCACAGTACAACAACAGCACTTAACGCCATAAACACTCAGATAACTCGTGGCCTTAACTGTAAACGTCCCTGTGAGACAACGATTCTAGTAGCGTTGGACCTGTCAAAGGCTTTTGACACTGTCAGCCATTCCACGCTACTAGAAGATATAGAGGCTTCCTCTCTCCCACAGAGGCTCAAACGGTGGTAGGCAAATTATCTGAGTGGTCGACACTCGTCGGTAATGTTTAGAGACAAATCGAGCAAACTTAGAACAATAAAACAGGGGGTTTCACAGGGTGGTGTCCTTTCCCCACTACTGTTTAACTTTTACATTTCAAA